AAGCCAAATATCCATGACGCCAAAGAAATGGTCTGTACTTAGTGGGATTAAAAGATCGTGCTTTATTATAAGCTTCTTTTTGAAAAAAAACTTTGTGAAGCCAATTCTGTGTAACACTACCGACAACAATTCATCAAATTAAAGCGAGCGATTTTCGAAAAACGGCCGAAATTTGCGACTAGACACGAGGCAATAATTTTCCATCATGGAAACGCTCGCCCTCATGTTGAAAGACCGGTTAAAAACTATTTAGATAACAGCGGCTGGCAAGTTTTACCTCACGCACCTTATAACGAAGATCTTGACTTTTTTGACTACCATTTGTTACGAACGATCTAGCACGCCCTTACTGGAATGCAGTTCACATAAGAGTAGGGTATCAAAAAATGGCTTAATTCATGGATGGAAATCACAAATTGTCGGTAAGATGGTAAGATGATATAGCTTCACATGGGCAATATTTTAAATAAAATTATTATATATGATTTTCTTAAATAAACGTTCAAATTAAAAAAAAAAAAAAATCACAAATACTGTTATGGACAAAATAGATATTAAAATTATAAATTGTTATTAAATATTAATAACGCAAAATTTTAGTATAAATGTCTATAAAATAAATAAATATTAAATCAGTTCAAAACAAGCACGCACACACAAAGGAGAATGCTGCTAAATCGTATTAAGAATTTTAAATACTTAACCGAAAATTTAAAAAAAATTAACAAACAAAAAATACACCAATTGAATGCTAATGAAATGCCAGTAGTTTCAAATAACTATTTTTTCTACAAATCTAACTTATATAATATATACATATATATTATGAGTGTAAACATGTATGTATATATTCATGTGGCGTTCTCCCGCAGTTGCGCCTGTAGATTCGAGCGTATAAATAAAGCAGAGATTTGCCACTAAAAGACATTCACAACACAACCAGCATTCTGCTAAGAGCAATCCAAACGCAATCAACTAACTAACAAAATGTTCAAGCTTGTAAGTAAATAGTTGACTAATAGTATTATAATTTTTTTCTTTTGTGCTACGTAAGCATTTAATCCCGCGCCACTTAACAATTCAATAATCCGCGAATGGAACAATTATCTTAGTACAAGCAAGTAGTATTACTAATATTCCTCTTCTTCGTCACTTACAGTTCGTTGTCCTTTTTGCTGCCCTCTTCGCCTTCGCCGCCGCCGGACCATCACCAGTCGCACGTCCAGCACCATTGCCAGTAGCTAGCCCTCACCCAGCGCCTGCACCAGCTCCAGTACCACAATTCTACTATGGTGGCTATGCCTCACCCTACTCCTACGCCTACTCTGGTTACCCATACTACGGTTAAACAGCATGTTAGTGCTTAGTTCACCAGTCATTGTGTATGGAGTGAATGCGTACAACTACAACTATGTACCTATATAAGTGAGCGTAAGTGAGCTGTGGGATTAGCGAAATTCATACGGAAATTATAGAAAGGATTATACGAGTACTGATGCGCTCAGGCGGCGACTCGGCTCGGTTGCATTTTCCCACTGGTCACAATATATGCTTTTATTAATTCACTTAGAGTAAAGCTACACACGTTGGCGGATGGACTAGAGGGCTAATTGCTCGATTGTTAATGGACCAGGGATAATGGATTTCGGATAATACACTTTGGCGAATTTTAATTAGTTTTAGTCTTGATTTAAGTAATGCTGTTATTTGCTTGTTATTTGAATGATCGCATGACAACAAATATGTCCTTATATGAAATTGTAAAATTAATAAATAAAAAATATTGCAAATACATATAAAACGAATTTTATTTTTATGAAAATAATTAAAACAAGTACTGTTTAACTAAGTTCAGCCACAATCGAACAATGGTTACTAAAAAACGAATATATTCGTAAATAAGCAAAATATTAATATCCAAAATATTTACATAACGTTAACTTGGCTGTCAGAAATATTAACTTTGAGGTATTCGGCTCTAGTAGAGAATGTGGACCGACATGATTCGCTTTTGATACCCACTTATATTGGGGAAAGAGAAAAATACATACACTTACGTATTTTAGTTTAGATATTTCAATGAAGAACCAACGGACTTGACCATATGGTTCAAATCGGTCGAGTAGTCGGTATGATATTAAAATTAACCTTAAAGATAGCGATGTCCTGCCCATACTTATATTTGTAAAAGTTTTATTTTATGCCCCGTACCGGTTGTATTATGTTTGCCGCGAAGTTTGAAAACGTCGAAGTTAAAGTATATGGAATATATCGGGTGTTTTTTTCGAGGTATAGAACTTTAAGTTGACATTACTGTTCAAGATGGTGACCGATGTAACAGCTATCAAGTGATTTATTCTTAGTTTGGTTTGGCAATTCAGCATGTATAGACTCACGCCTGAACAACGCTTGCAAATAGTGCAATTTTATTTCGAAAATAATGGTTCTGTGCGGAATACGTATCGCGCACTACGCTCATTTTATGATGAAGCGCACTTCTGGTTGAATGACGTAGCCAAACAAAACTGACACATTTGGAGTGAAGCTAATCCTCAAGTGTATGTCGAAACACCGTTATATCCAGAAATACTGACTGCTTGGGGCGCTTTATGGGCTAGTGGAATCATTGGTCCGTACTTCTTCAAAAACGATGATGGCCAGAACGTTACAGTCAATGGTGATCGGTATAGAGCCATGATTGCGAACTTTTTCATTCCTGAATTGAACAACCATGATGTTCAGGAGCTGTGGTTCCAACAAGATGGCGCAACATGTCACACAGCTCGTGCCACAATCGATTTATTGAAAGACACGTTTGTTGACCGCCTAATTTCACGTTTTGGACCTGTGGATTGGCCTCCAAGATCTTGTGATTTAACACCACTAGACTACTTTCTGTGGGGTTATGTAAAGTCATCGGTCTATGCGCTTAACCATTTGGAAGACAACATTCGCCGTGTTACTGCCGATATACGGTCACAAACGTTGGAAAAAATCATCGAAAATTGGACGTCCAGATTGGATTACAGCCGAGCCAGAAGGGGCGGTCATATGCCAGAAATCAGATTTAAAATGTATTGCCACAATATTATCTTTCGGATATATAAAATTCATGTCAATCAAATAATCCATCGTTGTTTTATTTAAAGTTTTCTACCTATAAAAAAAACACCCTTTATAAAAGATCAGCGTCACGAGTTGAGTCGATTTCGTCTGTCAATACGTCTATACGTATATCTGTATATATACGAACTAGTCGCTCTATTTTCGAGATCCCGCTCTAACATTTTTTCTACCAAAGAATTTGCTCATTTGTCCGATATCCGATATAGTCGTTTTGATCAAACTGATCGATCGAAATCAAGTCCTTGCCTGGAAAAGTTTTTAATTTGACAAGACATCCTCACGAAATATGGTATGGATTATTGTGCAAGACAACTGTACAGGCTTCGAACAAATTATGCAAACTGATGCGTTTTAGATATTTTAGATATCTTAGGTTGGCACATTTACTTAATAGTCCAATCAGTTAGTAATACCAAACCATTTCAGAAAGAGCTTTGGAAAGGGCAAAGTGACAGTGTTAGACCAATAAAGGAAACTTAAGACGCATTAATTATATTCTTATTTAGGAACTTTTGAACTGTTAATATTTAGGGACTAAACATAATGGTGTCCAACGGTTCCATGGTGTAGTGGTTAGCACTCAGGACTCTGAATCCTGCGACCCGAGTTCAAATCTCGGTGGAACCTTGAGAATTGAATGTAAACAGTTATTTTAATAATTTCTTCTACATTAAATTCATAATAATTAAAAAATAAATTAAATTCATAAAAAAGCGAAATTATTATCTCATCTTGCGTATATATAAATTATTTCGATATATCCCCAAAGGAGGTAATACTGCAGAAAGGGTTTATTTCGGGAAATTTATTTTCAATGTACTTTTAGTTTTTCATATTTTTCAAACCCAGGTAACCAAACTTCAACTAATGTGTTCTAAATAATTTAAGAGCCAAACTCTGGGCTTATGTATGTATGTCCGTTAATAAAGCCACATTATGAGAAGTACATTAATACAGACTATATACATATGCAAAATTAAACATTTTCTTATACATAATTTTTTTTTTGTTTTTAATTTAATTTCACTAATAAAGAAGCGCATCCGCCTTCTTTTGAGCAAAAATTCGGTTTGGTATTTTGGCGGATGAAATTTATCAAGGTTCCATGGTGTAGTGGTTAGCACTCAGGACTCTGAATCCTGCGACCCGAGTTCAAATCTCGGTGGAACCTTAAAATGAAAATACATTTATATTTTTTATTCAACACTCAGGCAATTAATACAAAAACTATTAATGTTTCAGTCTCTAAGAACTTATAGGTGTACATATATCGAAATTAAATAATTTGTAGAAGCAGAAATGAGTTCACAATTGCATGATAAATAAGTGATAAGTTGCCAGGTTGTTTACATTTCATTTATAAGCAAGAACGTAAAAGAATAGCATTACTGGGAATTAAGGTTCGCGTCTCTGCTAAGTGTTGACAGTGTTGTTAACTCTTTTGTTGGTTAGAGTTGGACAGAAATTCAGCCGCTTTTTGAAAATAATAATTTGAGTTTGGATTTAGAACTTAAATGCATATATACATTTCTCGTAAATTTTTAACAACGAAGAGGTATAATATAAACATATACAATTAGGAGTTATATTAGATCCTTGGTTATATTACAATTGAATAACATCAGTGATAATGATTTATCTATAAAAATATATATAATAAGGCTTATTCATTATACCCAATTTAGTTTTCTATCATTTAATATTCTTAGTTTTGTTTGCTTTATTCTGCTTCTATATTGTTATTATTTGGCATACAGTTTAATACTAAAAAAAGAAGTTTAGTTTAAATTTTTAAGAATTATACACTCTTTTTTAGACTTATTCCCATTTCTGCTACTCTTGGTTATAATTTATTTAAGAACAAAATTTATTTCAACTCTTTTTTATTTATTATAATTTTTTATCAGTTATTAAAATTTGTTTTCTTATATATTACATTTTTTCTAAAAATCATTGTGCATATTTATAGAAAATGTATCTCATTGTTTTTTTTTAATTTACCATACATAATTTCTTTACATTAATAAAAAATGTAGTACTTTATTCTACTAACTTAAATTTTTTTTAATTTAAGTACTTATTTTAAATTTATACTGATAGAAATTACAAGTTCTCTGTAAATTATTTTAAATATTTTTGAAAATTTAATATTGTTAGTCTTAATTTCATTATTTGTTTTTTAATATACTTTTTACATATTCCATATTAATTTTCAATATAATCACAATATCCCAGCTGCGGGTAAATTTCATTTTACAGCAACACTGTTTGTGCTAAAAATAAACTACGGAAGATTTACTTTTATTTTAATAATTTCCATGCATTTTAAAAGCCAAACATTTATCTTTTGATAAGTTTGCAATATATTTACCCAAAAGTAATCCCGTTCAAAGTTTATGCTGATAACATAAACAATTTGTCAATATAAATAACTTGTTGATTAACTCATAAAGCAACAAAAACCAACAAAAATTCGAGCAACCAAAAGTTAATAAGTTGACAGCCCACGTTGACGTTTGACTTATGATTTCTCATCTGCGCTCTTTTTTCCTCTCCACAAACCGCACATGCTAATGGATTTTTTGCTTTTGTTTTGATTCGAGCTGCAAACGCTTCCCGTTCATCAACACCCATTCTCCTCATGTGCTAATTCAATGTTGACCGAAAGTAAGCACTCACCCACCCACTCAAACATATTGTGTAGAGCAGAAAGTCAGTAACAGCAGACGGGAGGTGTATGTGACAGGCAAAAAGTAAATTAAGCATTTACTTCCCCGATTTCAGTAGACTTTGTGAGTTGTGCGTGAATGAAGTATTTCGCTGGCTTTGCCAGTGAATTCGCAAGTGAAATTGTAAAAAGAAAGAAGCAAAATTTCTGCCTATGCAAATTATATGTATTACTTTTGACGTTTTCATAAATAAACCTATAATTATAAGAATCTAAAAATATACGCTGCACAGCTGGAGCAATAATGGCGAGAGTAGCATGCGTAGGTATGTGACCGAGACTGTGTTGAGTATATGAGAGTTCGTTGCTCATTCACATTTAATTGCCATGCACTATCAGGTGCAAAGGGCCAGCGCATATGTGATTTGCAAATAATTGTGCATTATTTATTACATCCCGGTGTTGTGTGGTGTGCAGTAGTCTTTCCTGCTGTCATATATACAGTTATGTCAAAACGTTTTATGAAGTTACTTGTGGCCCTTGTCCTTACATTGATGTTCACCGTTTCGCTGTTGAAATTAGTGCTATTGCTGTGGAGCACCTATCCGGCATGGCTATATGCGGATATCGCATCGCCCAACGACCCCACCACGGTGGATGAATGGCTGGAGCAACAGCAGTTGTCGCAGTACAAGCAGCTCTTCCGGGACAAAGGTAAGTTGCTAGTAGTATGTGTGGTAGGGCGTGAGTGTGTATGAGAAACTGAACTGTATATTGTTTTGTTTATTGTTCGCCTTGTACCGCGCTTTTCCCCTCACCTTATTTTCGGTTCTATTTTGCTTTGCAACTTTCTTTTCATTTACTTTAGACAATTTTCGCGTTTACTTTATTTCGTGTACGCGATTGCAATTGAGCGCTGAGCGACGAATTCCGACACGCTCTCAGTCAAACTAATTTGGCGGTGTTGCCATATTATAAAGATCAACGAATCTCTGATTTAAAGTAACAGCAACCAATATAATATAAAAAAAAAATTATGATCACTATTTATTTAAAAACGATTTGATATGAAATATAATTGACACTCATCTTCTCAAGGTCAAAAATATGATATAGAAAACTATAAGGTCTTGCAATTTTTCGAAGGTGGTAAATTGAATTTTTGAATTAAAAACTTTTGTTTGAAAATTAAGCACGCTAATTAATAATCAAAATAACAATAGTTGCAATAATATAGAAAATTAGTCATAATTCTCTAAAGTCTTGCCATCCCAAAGTGTCTGTAAAAGGCATTATATAGCTATTTTTTCTTACAAAAAGAAAATGTAGAAATATTATATGTTTTTGTTCAAGTAAAATTATGTCTTCTAAAATTTTATTGGTTGTTTTCTAAAAGTTTTGTCTTGCGTAGCTGTCTGTCCTTTCCTGCTAGAAAATCCACCAATAGGCCATAAAATAAAAGAATTGATTTTTTTGAGTAGTAATAAGAAATTATTAATTTTGTAACCACATTTATTTTCATAATTACCATGCATTGACATATGAAATTTTAATTGAAACCCTTATTGATTATTTATATGTGTAGTAATTACGTATTCCCATACTCAAATAAATATTCATTCTCTACTAAGTCTGCTTTTATTTACGGCATTAGCACACGCGTGATTAATAGAATTTAAATTAGGCACTCCCAAAAATTTCATTCTTATGGCCCAAGCTATGAAGTCATGCAGATATTGTACTATTAAGAAACGCTAATGTATATCATATGTATAACAAATTTCTAAAATACATATGTATCTATTCATAACCATCAAATATTTATATAATTATTAAAATTTTTAAAAATGCAGAAATTGTACATAGAATACAATTTTTACAAAAAAGAACGCAAAAATACCATTAAAAAAACAAAAAAAGTAATTTAAAATAAATTAACAAAAAAAACTTTTCTTAGGTTCCACCGAGATTTGAACTCGGATCGCAGGATTCAGAGTCCTGAGTGCTAACCATTACACCATGGAACCACATATTTACCGTTAGCATAAGTTGTCATTTGCCAACAAGCAAATTAATGAACATTTGTGAATGAGAGACAAGTGAAGCATGTTGCCACACCGCTTACAACTGAAAAAATTAAGAAATAATATATTGGATAAAAATACCAAAAAAAAAAGTTATTCGTTGACAATAAAAAAATTATTTTGAATAGTTCATGCATTACAGGATTTTAATGTCACTTTTTTCTGAATTTTTTTTTTTCATAAAAATATATAATAAAAAAAATATATTTCGCAATTTTTATGCCAATTTTGTTTTTTCTAAGTGTTTTTGTTAAAACAAATTAAAAAAATTTTTTTTAATAAAAATAAATGTTAAAAAGGTATGCCAGAAAAATCGTAAACAAATATTTGCTATAAAATGATTTTCTAAAAACTGTAATTGAAAAATTTTTTTTTTAATAAATACATTTCATTAAATACAATATGCATATAATTATGGTATTACAATTATTTATAATTGTTGTTGAAATGAAAATGAAAAATATGCTTAAGTAGTACACCTCTCAATACCACAGCACTTCATTATTATTCTCGATACACACCGCCATGCTTTTTATTTATTTTTTCTTATCTTTTTTCCTTTAATGAACTTTGTTTTCAATTGTGTTTCTTTAATATGCACAAACAAACTCTCATATTGCATAAATTAAATAAGTACCAGTCGCACAGCATTATTAGCAGCGTCTTTGGTATCCATTTACCCACGAAGCGACTCTTCTTTAATTACGCGTATATAAGAAGAGCAGCGAAAATCTCAAACTTCCACAATTAATCAACTAATGGCTGATGAAAATGCAAATTTAATGAGCTTTAACATCAGCCCGCGTTATTTGAGTGGCTGGCTTAAGGCAATGCAATATAAAGCTTTTTATGTTCGTAAAATTTCGATGTGACCCAGTGAGAAATTCAGATTATAGAAAGATGGCATACATACTGTTAAAAAAAAATATTTAGAAAACGTTGGACATCGTATACAATTCAATTATGGTATACATAAATGATCAGCGTGACAAGCTCAGTCGTTTCGTCTTGTCCGTCTGTTTTTAAAATAACGACATGAAAAATTTAACACGTTATTTTCTCCCCATGAAGCTGCCCATTTTTTAAAACTGTCGTTATCGTAACATGTAGCTGTCGTACAAACCGACCAATCAATATCAATATCTTGTATGTAAACTTTTTTATTTGTGATGGATATATTATACGAAAGTAAAAGAATTTCTAACACTCTCACATAAGCAAGAGATCATAAAAATGTTCAAGTGGTGGGCAAAAATTTTTAGAATTTGTGAATTCCGCAAAGATTTTTAATTATTAGGTGGAAATATTTGATCATTCGAACTCATTTCTGGTTTTAGGATTGAAAGGAACTATCGTTAAGGACGCATGCCGTTATAGTTATTATTTGAGACACATGTGAAATGTGTCGGATCATTTCAAAGATTTTTTTTACGAATTTTTTTTGGGGTTTTATTTTCTAATTTTATTTAGAAATCCGTATATTGTCTTAAATACGGTATAAAGACAACCGGAAGGAGGGAAAGGTTTTTATTCGGTATGGAAGGCGGGCGAAAAAGTAGCACATATACCTCATAATATACAATAATTTGGGTGAGGGTAGTCGTTAAGTAGTTGTACATGGAACCATATGATTATACATATGCAAAATTCACGAACTAAATATTAAATAAGTTTAAAAAGTTATGCACCGTATTAAATTCCATTACATTTAGACCTTTCTATTATTAAGACACTTAGATAAAGCATTGAATGATTATCTACGCTTCACTATTGCTTTTATATATAGCAGACCATTCCTTAATTGAAGTCAGCGAGCGTCAAATAATATAAGTATTTTTAAATTCATTCCTATTTGTATAAACAAAAAACTTAACTCCAAAAAAGCTCACTTTTGACATTTGACGCTCATATATTGGCTTGCCTGTGCTCTCTAACTCTCTCCATAAGCGTTGTTATCCTTAGTGTAACTCTTGCTGCTGAGCGCATATAAAATCAATGGCCAAAGTCCTTTTGAGCTCAGTTGTAATTTTTCTTTCGTGGCGCGTTGTTCATTCCGCCGTTGCTTCGATACCTTGTGTGTTTGTACGTTGACTTGTGTTATTTTGTTGTACATATACACTTGTAAATGCATGCATATACATATATTGCTCAATTGTGTTAAATGCATAAATTTGCGTTAATATTGTTTTTTACGAAAATATTTAAAGAAAATTTAATACAAAATAATAATATGACTATTTTCGTTAATGCTGCAATTGTTGTTGTTCTAAAATAAATGTAACGAAACTTTGTTTATTTTCACAAAACAGTGCTGCGAAACCAAGTGTGTGCTTAATTTAACCTATTTATGGGTATATATATATAATATATTATGTATGTACTATATACATATAAATAGTACTATGTACATTTATATAAATACACGCTGCCAAAGGGTTTTTGTTATATTTATTGCTTTCCTTGAGACTTGACATTTGTCTGGTGGGCCTACAATGAATTTATTATGGCCAGTGAAAATTTGCACCGGTGGGTGCCAAAGTTTATAAAACATGAAATATATATAAAATATATTCTTCTAAATTGACAATTTGGAAAAGATTTCAAACTAGTACATTTTGTGCCGTTAATGGACGGTAGTGTTATAAATTTCGCAGAATTATTCGTAATTATTATTATTTTTAATGAGGAAATATATTTGCTTTTACTAATTTGGTTTAAATCAATTTTAAATCTTAGTTATTTTTTTATTTAGTTTTTTTTTTTTAATAAAAATTAACTAAAATAAATATACATATATTAATATAATAATATTTAGTTATATTATTTTTATATTTATATTATTTTCGATTACATTGTATAATTTTTTAGTTTTTTCACAATAATATTTTTAATAATGAATTTAAAATTTATTATTTTTGTAATATTTAGTTTATTTTAATGTTTTTTTTTTAGTTTTTAATTTATTAAATTTTTCTAACTTAGTTTACGCTCGTTTTAAAAATTTTGGATCTTTGTTTATACTTTTTTTTGTATTAAAATATTTGTATATTAATAACTATTATATTAAAATTACTGACACAAAAACATTTAGATTAAGCGTAAAGTTAAAGTAAACATAAATAATTTAGTATTAATAATAGTATTAATTTTACATTTATTATTTTTTTATTTTACTTTTAATTTAATTTAATAATTTTTTAAATTTTTGGCATTAATATTAACATTTTTTATATATATTAGTTTTTATTTTATAATAATATTTTATATTTAAATTTGTTTTTGATTTTTGATTTTTTTAAATATTTTTTATTCATATTTTTTAATATTTTTACTATGCACTATCTAACATTAATATTCAAAATAAATAGTAATATGTAAAATAAAAATATATAAAATAAAAATATACAAAGTAAAAATATAATATTTTTTTATTTTATGGTATACGTTTTCCATATTTCAATATTTTTTAAGTAATTTATTTCAATAAATGTATATACAAAGTTATATAATTTTCAAGCAATTGAATTAAAAAACAAAAAACATTCGCTTTTGTGGCAAATAATGAATTATGAACACGTGTGCAGGCTTCCATGCGTATAAGTAACCTTTTCGCTGACATGCAAGCACTCA